TCAGGTACCTTAACTGTCATAATGCTCTTACTATCTAATATCATGTTGGGTTGTGCCACATGATGGTGTCACCCATCACACAAGTACTTTCATTTTCCCTATGATAAACTGCTTCCCCAGCCCACCTTTTAAAAATGTTTCATGTATTTTTTTTTTTTTTCCAGACATGGGTTCTAGAAGGGGAAAAAATTAGTCTGGACTAATTACATTTGTTTTCTCATTGACTTAATGTCATATCTAAATGGGGGCTGACAGAGAAATGTATAGTAATTAAGCACATTATATCACATGGATTTATATTTCGGTCCTGGAAAAGCAGAAAGAGTGATAACCAGGTCCTGTTGAAACAGGAGTGAAATTGCATTGACCTCAGGAGGATATCCGGGCTGTCAGGCACTGGTATTAAGTCACAGCATTACCTAGAATCTGTATTGAACGGGAGTGGGAGGAATCAAGAGCTGTGCTGGCATCCAGGGCTGTCCTTTCCCCATGTAAATCCCTTTCCAGAAGTCTGATGTTTGGTGAAACATTTGCTCCAGTTCTGCCTAGAAGCTGTCTCTGGCAAGGAAAATGAAGCAGCAGCCAGAGAGGAAGCTCATTGGAAGTGGGTCTCCTCTCAGGCTGCTGCTCTGTCTTCCTTGCCAGAGGCTGAAGTCTTCCCTCAGCTTGCCCAGAGGAGTCAGAGCCAGGATGCCTTGTTCCTCCTCTCAGGCTGTCTCCTGGAAGTGTTTATAGCACACTCAGGCCATGTTTTCCAGGCCAGGAAAGATGGCCTCATGTCCCTGCTTTCATGAACAACACCACGCAGATGTTTAATCTCTCTGTTCTATGCAGGACCTCCAGGAGAAAGTCGGACTGGCAGCCCGGGCCCACCAGGGTCTCCAGGCCCACGAGGTCCTGCTGGTCACACAGGGTCCCCGGGCTCAGCAGGCCCTGCTGGGCCTCCAGGGTACTGTGACCCGTCCTCCTGCGCTGGCTACGGCATGGGAGGTGAGTAGCGAGGAGTCGGGACTGCTGCCCTTTGCAGAGGTGTGGGTGGCACTTTCTAACAGCCCAAGTGAGATGGAGGCTACCAGTGAAACTTGCACTAAAATGTGCTGGCTCCTAAAAACCTGCGTGTCCAGTGTGGCTCTACTTTGTGGGACTGCAGCATGAAGAAAAGGTGACCCAGCGTAGTGACCAAAGGAAGTGACCTTCATCTGATCCCAGCCTGTAAAACTGATCCTGCCTAGTGGGTTTTGTCCTGTACGTGTTTGTGTAGCTCTATGAGCCTGCTCCATCTCCAGATTCTGTGTTGAAGCCCTACCAACTCATGTTTGTGACAGCAGAGTTTTTACACTTCTAGTTTTTCAAATGTGTTGCTCAACCTCCCCTTCCATGTGCCTCTGAGTGGCATGAGAGCATGACCCTTACTAAACCTGTAGTAGTGTAACCTGGCACAGGGATGCACGTGTCCATCATTAACCAGTGAAGCCACCTGGAGAAAATGATTCCTTCTGTGTCTTCTCTGTATCCTCCTTTCCCATCTTCTTGTAGCACGGAGAGGCCATGGGAAGAAGTTAACACAATTACCAAAACTTAAATCACCCAACCTAAAATCACAATTAGTAGAGTGCTAAACTACAAATGTTATGCATAAGGCATATTTGTTTGATGTTTACAGTATAATCTGCCCCTGAGCTGATTTGTATGTTTTACTTACCTGAATGTTTTTGTTGTCATCTCTTCCTATCCTTTTCTCCTCACTTCCCCTCCCCGTTGTTCATTTCCTGTTTTAAGGCCCAATCCCTTACAATGGCTACGAATTCAGAAGGTGAAAAGCTCATTCTGGTTCAGGTCTCATTGGGCTGAAGGTCAGAGATGGATGCTGAACTGCTCTGTGCTTTCCAGCAACGATAATGACTACCACTAATGAACTTACAGCTGCTGTACATGCACTTGGCTTCCTGGCACTGCTAAAAAATTATTGCCTGACCCATTTTTGCCTGCTGCTCATGTATTCTAGCTCATAATGGGAATAAGCTATAGCAGGCAGAGTGTGCAGTGTATAATGAGCACAGTATTACAATCGGACATTTGACAAATTGTGGTGGTGGTTTCCAACTAACTTGGCTGTCTGTTGGTGGGTTTCCAATTGCTCCAGCTTATTAATTTTGTTAAATGTTTTCATTGTTCCTTTATGTGAATAAAAGATGTGTATTTAAAGATTATATATATACTCACACACATGATATAGAAATACATCTATATATAAAATGTCAATTTCCTAATGAATGCTTTAATTTTCTACTCCCCTTCTCCTGTGTTAACCGTATGAATACTCTTGGTGGTGGTGGGTTAAGGTGGATACGGTGAGCCAACTGATCAAGACATCCCAGTAGTGCAGTTGCCACATAACTCCTACCAAATCTATGACCCTGAGGACCTTTATGATGGTGAGCAACAGCCGTACGTAGTTCACGGGTCCTACCCCTTACCGTCCCCATACTCCCAGTCCTATCCATCACCTCATCTTGCTCAACCAGAGTTCACTCCTGTCCAAGAAGAGATGGAAGCCGTTGAGCTGAGGTCCCCGGGAATCAGTCGCTTCGCAAGGAGGATAGCCAAAAGGAGTGCCAGGAGCCCAGAACGCACAAAGGCGAACGGAAAAAGCCCCTCTCAATGAACTGGTTAAAAAAGGGAAACATTTTATGCACACCTGTGTTTGGCCTTTTGCCCCAGTGCCTCCTCACCTGTCATGAAGATGTTTACAGGCTTTTATGTTAAAGGAGAAAAAAGTGTATGTGGCCAGTTGACACAACAAATAATGGAAATTATCTTGCATGCCAGAAGTTTAGTATGTTAGTGGGTTGGTGCTAGCTGATGATGAAAGGTCACTTGTAGATCTTTCTCTGGAGTACTGTTCCGTTCACTCTTCAAACTGTAGCTGAAAAATGCATCTGGCTAGGTGGTGTGCGTAGAACCATTCACAAAAGTTAATGTTTTGTTATCCATTTTTTCTCAGCTGATTACTTTCTCTTTGTTTTGGATTAATTGCTTTACTAGCAGAGTAACCTGACTAAATCCACTGGAGAACAATGCATCAAGTGTCCTTGCACCCCAGTTATCATCCTTTTGTAAAGATTTCTTACATTACAGACCACTGTTTTCTTAACTCACCTAAAATAAATAAGCAAGAATGTTCTGTGGGAGCACACTGATAATTTATTGTGAACCTCTTTCATTTCTGTTTTGTATGCAAATAAAAGTTGCAAGCTTTTGTATGGTAATTCTGTATTCATTTGACTTTTAACTCAAAAAAACTGCATTAGATCTTCAGGCGACAGAATGTAATGAGAAGGAAATACATTTCCTGTTTTCAACACTTTGGGGCAACAGTTTTATTTTAAATGACGTAGTATAAACATTACTTAGCCTTATTTTTAACTTGTATATGGACAAGTGCAGAGAGTAACTGAGCTGAGGTAGTTGTACCAACTGTAGATGTGAGATTCCTCATGCCAACATGCCCAAGTCAAAAGACTGGGAGGTGTAGTTGGGACGGCAACTTGGATCAGCTAATGAGGAGAGGAAGGCAAACCACCAACCCAACCACTTGAGCACAAAGCAATTCATCATCTACAAACAAGGTAAGTTAGAAAGAGACTCAATAAACACCTCTGAACAGCACTGGAGACTGAGCAAGATTTAGCTCAATAATGGCCATTTATGAAAGCACAGGTTTGGAAGACTTTTTCTTCAGCCCTATACAGACATGGAGAGGCTGTCCTGCACACCTCAGCACCATCCTCCTGCTCATCCCTGACTGGGAGTGGGTCTAGTCATATTCTACAGTAAAGAAAAGCCTGTCAGGTTTTGACTGCTGCCAGCAGCTCCCTTAGCTCACCAGGAAGAAGAGTAACCTTTACTGTGTAATCTCCAATTGTCTCACCTGGAATTCAGCCTCATTAGTAGCACACATGATTTGCACATGTAACTAGTAGGCTCTGGCTGGGGGCTGGATACCTTCCTAGGTTCTTTCTCTTTTCCCATTACTTCTTTCACCTCCACCCATTTTCCTGGGGAAAGGTGATAAAAGTTGATAGAATATGAGTTTAATGTCATTTCATTACCTGCACTTGCATTTAAAATAGAAGGTAGAAAAGTATAATGTAGTTTATGGACTTTATTTTTTAGCAGCTTAAGCCCACTTGACAGAACACAAGACAGCCTCATGGCTGTCTTGGCCCCAAGCAGGTACCACAGCCTGGCACAAGCAACTGATACTCAGAAGTATTATTAAAACTAAATACAGTAATGCCTGGGGTCACAGGGTTAATTTTAATTTCCCTGCTGGCATTGGCTGTCAACACCCATGTTAATTTACCCCAACTGCAAACTCCTTCTGCCCCTGCCCGGTTAGCCCACTCCCATCCATGTTCTACAAACAGCTTAGAGTTCTGCTTGAGATATGCTGACCTGCAGGTCCTGTGGTAGGGACAGAGAAGGTCACTGATGGAAAAAATCAGCTTTTTTTCAAGCAATTCTGCCTGTTTTGTCTTTGGAAGACTTTGAGTCTCCTGCTAACAGTGCACAATACATTAGTCATGACTGGCTGGCCTGCAACACTATATCAAATCTCAGGTTCTTTTGGGACTGCAGAGACTGATGAGAACACAGGGCAACACCAGGGACGTATGTATACAGCATAATCACAATAAGGCAATTGTTGATACCTACTCCATGAACAGCCCGACCAAATCCCTGAGGGTGCTTGTGGTGTGCAGTCAGTGTCCCCTGTGCTGTGCCAGTCCAACAGCTCCCACACCAGTCTCCTGGGCTGGGGGAGCAGCTGGAAGCAGCACAGCACGCCCAGCTCACAGAAATTTGGGTGCTCTGGGCCTGAGGGATCCCCTGTGCTGCACACCTGCACAACAGGCTGCCACCTCCTCCTCACACCATATGATGTACATGGAGTCAATTAAACAAATGACTTGGGGAAAATACAGTAGCCATACTCATTCAAATTTTATAACAATTTATATACTAAAGCACAAGATTCAATTGCAGTAACAATTTATATACTAAAGCACAAGATTCAATTGCAGTAGGTAATTTATTTTAACTTTCTATTTACTATGCCATTTACTGGCACCATGCTGACCAGAATGCTGCTGGTATCATTAATCATATATAGTCACTCTTTATTAGAGTTACTCTTTATTAGAGTACTCTTTATTAGGGTAGTAGTTACTCTTTATTAGAGTAACTAGACAGTAATAGAGTAAGTAACTAGTTACTCTGTGCTCCACCCAATTATAAAAATACTATTCAGGAATTGTATGTTTGCCAAAAGAAGTAAAACCCATTCTGTCAGGATTTTCTCCAAAATCCAGTCTCTGAATAATCAAGAATGTCTCCTATTTTTTCCAGACCACCTAAGAAAGTGAAGCTGCTGACTGAAGGATTCAGCACATGATGAACAGTTGATGCCACACAGATCTTACCAATAAACTGTCCTTACACAGAAAAGAGCATTTACTGTAACCCAGGCCTTTCAAAAATACTTTCACTAGTTAATGCAGTGTACTAACTAACTTGGAAGTGAAGGCTGCACATTCACTAGGTGGGAATTTTTCCTGGGATAAGCCCATCTGAATGTCAAAGAAAGGCCCAATATCAAACCTTTATTTAATGCAATGAAATATGGTTATAAATAAACAACTGGTTTTCTTCTTGTATGATGCTTGTATGAAACAGATGTAGAATACTCAAATTCTCCTCACTAGACATTGTAAAATTTGGCACACAATGTACCAGCATTTCCTACTACACAGAAAACAACAGGTGCTTTACTTATCTACAGAACACCTTTGGCTTGAGGGTTTTCAGAGCAGGAAAGCAGACAGGAATTTCAGGGAAGTAGCTTGCAAAAGTGAAGTGAATTTTAAGACTTTTTTAAAATCATTCAATACTTAAGTCTGGTTTCCTCATTTAGTTTTCATAATAAAAATGCTTCTCTGTTCTGCAATATGTTCCTTAAAGTAGGTAAGGCATGTTACTGTGACTTGAATGAAAATCAGTTTGAGGCTGAAGGGAGGAAAAAAGATAAAGTATCTCTCTGTTTATCTGCCTTTAATACCTGTTATTTCAACAAGCTCTTTAAGGAAATCTGTTCTACACTGGGTTGTCATCAGTGAGCTGCTTCATAGCAGTAGTCAATGTGTTTTATGAGATGCAAGTACTCATTACAAAGGTATTCATTCTTTAATAACAGTATCAAATCAAATGTCATGAAAAAATACCAGATCATACAATGCAGAGTACAGATGGCATTGACAAGATAATACCTAATCTTAGATGTTTCAAATACAGTGATTTCTATAATCTCACCAAGCCAAATTTGCTAACAGCTGTCAGAAACATTCAGTATAGAAGGGCTGACTGAGCCACACAGATGCTTCCATATTAGAAGAATTTTCTTTGAAAGAGGAGAGACACTCTTGATGGCACTTCTTTCATTCTTATTACTTCCTTCGAAAATCTTTAGGTCTGTGGGGAAAAAAAAAAGTATTTTAAGAAATGCATGTTCACTGCAGTGGTTTTGCTTTAAGGCTGTAGTAGCAGCCTCGACTAGTTTTATTTCCTCACTCTGGTGAGGGTTTTTTTGACAAAGAAGAACATTTTCTGGATTACACAAGACAGAACAAATTAAAGAAATTTACTAAGATCTCTAAGAATCTTATTTTCAGACATCAGGACTAGATGGTCACTCCTACGTTCCTAAGCAAAATAAAAAACCATCTTGAACTGAATGCAGTCTCACAGGGCTTTAAACACAGGCACTGATTTGGCTCCACTTTTAACAACTGAATAATCCATGCATAAGAGGGTAAATTTCACTCAACAGCACAGTCCAGCACAACACTACTAAAATAGTTAAAACCAATGATTTAAAAAAAAAAAACCTAATTGAATCTTAGAAGTTCTGCAATCCCCTTTGCTTGGATGACAGATGTGGAAAACATTCAGATAGAAGCAGACTACTGTTTGCAATCCTCTGTCATCTCCTATTCAGGCACATCTCTCTCCCTGCCTGCCATTTATCCACAGGCTGCAGGAACCACATTCTGCCTGAAACTGCACAGCTCAGAGCAGCTTATGGCTTTCAGAATGCTGAGTTTGCAGACTGGATGCACATCTATATCCCTACCATGTCCTGCAGACAATCTGCACATCCTGGACTCTGCCCAGTCACTCCCAAACCCCCAGGGCAGGTCAGGGTCTCTGAGGTGTCCAGGACACACCTGGTGTCACCCAGTGCAGGTCAGGGTCTCTGAGGTGCCCAGGACACACCTGGTGTCACTCAGTGCAGGTCAGGGTGCCTGAGGTGCCCAGGACAGGCCTGGTGTCACCCAGTGCAGGTCAGGGCCTCTGAGGTGCCCAGGACACAGCTGGTGTCACCCAGTGCAGGTCAGGGTCTCTGAGGTGCCCAGGACACACCTGGTGTCACCCAGTGCAGGTCAGGGTCTCTGAGGTGCCCAGGACACACCTGGTGTTTGCCCAGCATGGAGCAGCCGCCCCTCACAGCCCCCATCCCACACAGAGCTGCAGCCTGCAGGAACACAATGCTCTTCACTCCTCCTCTCATCTGAGAATCAAAGCAGCTTGGGGAACTCACAGGACTCAACAAGACAGGTATTAACAAAGGTTTTAGAGACATCTAAAGGAATACAGGGCGAGATTTGCCATGAAGTTGAATGAAAAATTCTGGTATACAGGATAACCTGCAAACCACTACAGTCACCAGGTTGAATTTCCAAAGGTGGTACATTTTATCTGTAATTCAGCCCAATAATGGAAATGAAAAGCAGACAGCAGTGGAAGCAGACAGCTTACTTTAAAGACTGAGAGTTCAGATGGCTGCAGAGATGCCACATAGAAATCCAATACTTGTTTAGTCCTACGTTGCAGTTTCAGATTTTGCTAAGCAATAGCACTGCAAAGTGAAATCATCCACACAACTCTTGTATGAGCCCATAGGTTCTCACATGAAGCAAGTCTGGAATTCAGTTTGTGTTATTTCAAGAGTAGCATATAAAACTGTGTGAATTTTACAGAACAACTATAAAGAAGAGCTAGTGTTCATACTGTGATGAATCACAAAGCTGCTCTGTTCCCCATTTAAACAGCATATTCTGTATTAATATTTGGACTTGTATCTTCTGTGCATGACAGAACTGCTGCAAGCACCATATATGTTGTTTACATACTTGCTTAATGCTGAACTTGAATGTACTTAATGTTTGATGGTTGGTGTGTGCTGGGAAGTCAAATCACATTTCCTAGATTCCCAGACTTCAGTACTTGGAGATATTCATGGAATCAGAGAATGCTTTGGGTCAGAAGGGACCTTAAACATCCTCTGGCTCCAGCCTCTCTGCCATTCCACATTTTGTTACTCAGATCTCACTGCATGCCAGAATAGGTATTTCATTATATCAAACTGTTTGTAGAGTGGTAAGAGTAGGGGATTTTGAAAAATTCTCAGCAGTGACTTAGAAGTTTTATCACTACATCCATCCTAGACAGGTGGACAGTGCTGGAAGATTTCAGGCAACACAGCATGGCAAAGACATCCTTGTCTTGCAGCTTATAGTTATTACTCTGTCTTTAGAGAGACCAATCCATTCTCTTGTACATTGCTCAAAGGATTTTACATTTTTCTATGAATGGCTCCCTTAAAAATTCCATCTAGGCTTATGTTGGAGTGCTCAGAACTACAGGTCTCACAGCACTTTGTTCTGGAGTGAAAATCTTTTTTCTTGCTTGCTTGTAATCTGCATTTCAACTTTAATGCTTATTGTCTTAAAATTTAAATGTATAAAAATGCATCAAACACTGGACTCTTAGTTTGCAGTCTTCTGAAGTTAATGAAGCTTAAAGACAGGATTTTCCACACTGAAACACTTGTGTGAACAAATACAAAAGTTTTTAAAGCCTTTTCTATTGCCACAGTAGGCTTTTTATGCCCACTAGTATTTGGCTTTTGGACTGCTTTTGAAGAATTCTTGGCACCAGGAAAGCTAAGCCTTGGAAAACACTGCCTTTGGCAGGAGTGTTACAGGCATTTTGTCAGATGAAGAATATGAACCCACAAAAATGCTGTCTACTCAGAGAGAATTATGAACCACTTGTGAGCATCAATGGGTAACTGCTCATTGATAAGTGACACAAATCCATGTGAGAGTCTTCTTCTTTGATGGCAGTGCTTTTGCCTTTCCTCAGCAAAGGCCAGAGTTTATGCTCTTGAAACAAAGGAAATGCTATCTCCTAGAACAGACAGTTCAGAAATTCACCCAAAGGCAAGACTTCACATAGCTGCTTCTCCTCTGCTTTTTATTTTTAAAGTAACATTCTTGGGGAAAAAAAGCTTTGCTGTATAGTGACAGGAGACTCCAAGACAAAGGGAAATGGGGGAATGTGGGAACCAATGTCTCTGCAATCTATGCTGAAACACAAACTATTATGGGTTCACTGAAAATATGCAATATTAGTCTGTGAAGCAGATGTCTGCCACCAAAATATGTAAGAAATATTTGTCTCACTAACATTCTTATACTCCACATAAAAAGTGTTAAGACAGTTCTGTGAGTTCTAGGCAAAATACTCAGCAAATTAAATCAGTAACCCATTTGTTACAGCAGGCCTCTCAGTGCTTCTCACTTAACAAATAATTTACCACTGAGCAAGAGGCACTGAAGAGCTGGTCCTGAACTCTGATTACAGCTTTTAAATCTGCTAAAGCTGCCCAGGGAGATCATGGATTCTCTCTGAAGACACTCAAAACCCACCTGGATGCATTCCCTTGTAACCTGCTCTAGGGGACCTGCCTTGGCAGGGGGGTTGGACTGGATCATCGCCATAGGTTCCTGCCAAACCTCACAATTCTGTGATTCCATAAATTTTCCCAATTTTTATCCATACTCACAGCTATCAGAAAAGAAATACAGCTGATGTAAAATGCTGACAATTCACAGCCACTGAAGTTACAGAACAGATAAACCTGCCCCTTTGTCCAGCTCCTAGGATCAGCCTTTGTGATGGAAAACAGAAGGGTCTTAGTGGTCCCCACTGTAACTGGTACAGAATTCCCCAAACTCTGCAGAATTAATGTATTTCATGTAAATGTTGTCTTTTGATAATGATGCCAGCCCTACACTCTGCAGTGTTGAAAAAACCAATGGACTGTGAGAGTTTTCTCATTTAGAAGAAAACAGTAACTTCTTTGCTCTGTACTCCACCTCATGAAATAAGATTGAGGTCAAACTAAACCCTAGAACATGAAGAAGTTCTGCCTTTCTTTATGGACTTTAAAGATGACTTGAAGAGGCTTGTGTCCTTGGGAAAAAACTTGCCATTGCAAGTTCTCTCTTCAGTGTCTCTGCAGATTTTGGAGTTACAGTTATGTTTTGAAAAGCACTGCAGAATATAGTGCTGGCACCTGTGTCATTAATTAATACTGAAATTTGGTGAACACACATGTGATTCCCAGCAACTCCAACCAACTCCAGCATGCACACACCCCTTTGTGCAGCTGCATAAAAAAGGTTGTCTTTAACCTAGGTCAGGTCTCTGATTCTCCATTCTGTTGCCACACAAGCAGAATGGAGAGGCAGGAAAATTGATGGGTGATTCTTAAAACTGAGCCCTATTGCCAGAAAAAACGCTCACTAAGCTATGACCTCAGCCTTTGAACATCTCAGATGGCAAACAGAAACTATCAGCACAAAAAGACCTACTTGCATATCTGCAACTATCATGGGACCCCCCACTTTACAGCACATTCAATATTCTTTTTCAGTGTGATGTGAAATATCCTCTTTCAAGGGTGTTTTTCCTGTGGGGAAGGACAGGACAGAGACCCTCTGCAATAGTTTAATGTGTTCAACTCTCAACTCCTGGAGTGAATATTTATTTCAATCAGTTCTGAATAGACTTGCTGCACAGCTCCATCTTTATTAAATTCTTGTCAGCACATTCCAGCAATGATGTTTCCCTTTGCCTAGCAATGCTTTGTGGAGGTAAAGCAGCCTCCGAAAAAATAAAATAAAGGGGGTGTGTGTTACTCTATGAAGGCCAAATCTAAGTAATCACTTGTTATAGTGCAACTAACTTGATTTCAAAAATATACAGGACAACTTCACCATCTAATTTCTAGGCAAACAAACTAAAACCTTGTAGCATCTTACAGCAGACAGGTTAGCATTACTAACCTCAAAGAAATAATAAAGGTAAGGCTGTTGAGTTATATATGACACTGTCTATTCTATACGTACAGCAGTTATTTTACAATCCAGACAATATTTTAAAAAAAAATTCTCTTCATTTTTTAATGATTCAGAATACCTCTTCAAAACTATGTATTTTAATCCAAATGACTTTGTTTCTTAGAACTTCTAAATGCACTTTGATTAGCTATAACAATGCAATTTGTAGTCAACATTGCCCTTCCTTCTTCCAAAAGAAGTGTGACACCTCCCTAGATTCTT